ACACACACACACACACACACACACACACACACACACACACACACACACATACACACGCACGCACGCACTCGCACACCTCACATGTCGTACATTGTGTTAGTAATGTGGCCGTGTATATTAGGATTAGATAGTCCCAATTGTATAAAACATGTATAGTAGTAATTATAGAATCTCCTGTATCTTGTACAATATAAAATTATATTTCATAAAACTTTATTTATTTAATGCACTACATACTGTGCATGTAAGGGTTATTTTTAAGAACTAACAGACAAACAGGCTCTTGTAGTTAAAACAAATGCTACACATTTTAGACTTTCCATGCAAACCTCCATCAGTTCTTCTTCAATCATTCATTTGTGTGGGAAGTTACAAAAAAATATGAATTTTCAAATATCGTATATACAATATAACTTGTTTGTTTTACATTTAAATACAAATATTTTAGGAGAAAAAGAGAAGAGTTTGTAATAAAAATATACCCTTTACAAACGTTACTCATAACTAGAAATACTAATATATGTATGTAATGAATAACTGTAGAAAAATAAATATTAGTTCTTTTTTTAATTGTTTAATTGCTTACTTGCTTTGACCTCACCCAACGACCTATTTCGAATATACAGTGCAATAATGTACAATATTTAAAATATCATAATGCAACGAAGAGAATAAACTTAAAATAATATTGCAACTTCTTTATAAAAAAACCGATCTCAAAAAATTGTGGAATCTATTTGCAAAGTTTTATTGAAATGTAATAGATTAGATTAATCTTCTAATTTGCCACCCTTAGAAGTGGTATATTTTCTTCAAATTTGAATGGAAACACTACTGAAATACCCGCTTTTCAACAAAAAAAAAAAAGAATCGTCCAAATCAATTCACAAATATCGGAGTAATCGAGTAACATAATTGAATTAAGACATATGCCTGGTATCTTAACATTACGTGATATCACCGTAACATTATTAAGCAAGGAACATGGTTGAGTTATAATTATTAATACAAAGATCGAACACTTAGAAAAAATTCCTTCGATCCGACCGGATTCAAACCGACGTCTTTTAGCATACCCTGCCGGACTCTATACCAACTAAGCCACGGAACGAACCAGCGAACCTCACGAATTTTTCTATGTGCTTGCGTTGTACTACTCTGTCATGAAAGTACCGGGAAAAGATCAATAATACACAAAATGTCTATTATTCATCCAAATTTATTTTATCACCTTCAAAGTATGCTCCTTTAGAAACGATACACTTGCGCCAACGAATAATCCATTCATCAAAACATTTTTTAAACGCTGCTTCCGGAATTGAGTTCAGTTCTCGCCGCGAATTCTCCTTTATGTCTTCTATCGATTGAAAACGGGTGCCACGAAGTGGTAATTTGAGTTTAGGAAAAAGAAAAAAGTCAGCAGGAGCCATATCTGGTGAATATGGTGGTTGTTGGATGGTATTTGTTGAGTGTTTGGTCAAAAATTCGTTCACAATGATAGCCTTGTGCGAAGGCGCATTGTCGTGGTGCAAAATCCAAGAATTTTCTTTCCACAAATCTGGCCTTTTTCGTCGAATTTGCTCTCTTAAACGCCGCATAACGCTCAAATAATATTCTTTATTTACCGTTAGACCTTCCGGTAATAATTCAGAGTGCACAACACCGCGATAGTCAAAGAAAACAGTCAACATGACTTTGACTTTTGATCGACTTTGGCGTGGTTTTTTCGGTTTCGGTTCAGTTGGAAGGCGCCACTCCGAAGCTTGTTGACTAGTTTGCATGTCAAACTCGTAAACCCACGTCTCGTCACCGGTAACAATGCGTTTCATGAATGTTGGGTCCGAACTGACTCGTTCTAGCATGTCCTCAGCGACTTTCATGCGATTGAGTTTTTGGAGAAAATTCAGATCTTTTGGGACTAGCCGAGCAGCAACATGTTTCATACCCAAATGATTAGTTAAAATGGTACGGATCGACTCGTGAGATACAGAAAGTTCAGCGGCTATCTCTCTCAGAGTTGAATGGGGATTTTCAGTCACTATTTCCTTCACTTTTGCGATGTTAACTTCAGTTGCAGACGTTGACGGCCTACCAGAGCGAGGCAAATCTTCCATCACATCTCGACCGCTTTTTAACGCTTTGAATTCAAAATTCGTTTATTGTTTTAAAAGTGGTACAATGGATGGAAAAGTTATATAATGTAATTTCACACTTTTAGTCATTTCTGACATACAATATAGAATTATGGTTTTTTAAATCATAATACAATACAATATTTCAAATTAAATGTGCATTAAAGACTAAAGAATGTCAAAAAAGAAGCAATAAAATAAAATAAAATCATAATAAAAACCATGTCAAAGAATCAAATGTCCATACACAATACAGTACACATTACATAAAAATATACCTAACCTAATCAAATATTTCATTTACATCATAAAATGTTTTTTGTTTTAACCAAAGCTTTAGTGAGTATTTAAATTTATTTATTGGTTGTGACTTGAGAGTTTCAGGCAAACTATTATAGACCTTGACACACATTGCATAACAACTCTTCACGTATAATGCTGTTCTGGGTATAGAGTCCACAACAAGCCTGTTTTGGTGCCTTACATATCGGTTTAAATTATCTTTAACTCGTTTGAACAAACCTTCGTGATTTCGTACAAATATACACAACTCATATATATACAGACTAGGGAGAGACAAAATGCCAAATTTTATGAATAAAGGTCGACACGACTGGTCTGGTGGCGCCCCATACATTGCACGCACACATCTTTTCTGGGCTTTGAAGGCCCTGTCAGCATCAGTACTGTTTCCCCATAACAATAGTCCGTATCTAAGATGAGACTCAACATGACCATAGTAGGCTGTGAGTAAGGTTTGACGCATTGCTGTTCTTTTAAGTTGACTCATCATATACACATAGCCACTTATTTTGTTACAGACCCTATTTATGTGACATTTCCAGTTGCAGTGATCATCAATTTGAAGTCCGAGAAAACAAGTATCATTTAACTCCTTCAATGGCTGTCCTTCATGATTTATATTAAGTTTATATTTACGTCCACAGTGATTTACAAATTGTATATAATTAGTTTTGTTAATATTAACATTCAAATTATTTAATTTTAACCATTTTGTTATTGAAATTAGTGTGTCATTTAAATTTAATTCATTAGTTTCTATGTCAGTGGTTTTGTCAATTGGTACAATTACTGAAATGTCATCTGCAAATAGAACACAATCATAATTCGTTACATTTGGGAGGTCATTAATATACAAGATGAATAGAAGAGGCCCTAGCACACTTCCTTGAGGAACACCATATCCGTTCACTCTATATTTTGATCTGAATGTCTTAATTATAGAATTTGTACCTACGTTTACAATCTCTACACACTGCTTCCTATCTTTCAAGTAAGACTTCATCCATTCCAAGGCTATACCTCTGATTCCATAATTTTCCAGTTTACTTATTAGTATGTTGTGCTCTACAAAATCGAAAGCTTTCGACATGTCAAAGAATATACCAACTGTATTCTTTTTGTCGTTTAAATTGGTAATTATTTTGTGCATTAGCTGAAAACATGCTAAAGTCGTCGACTTACCGGCTCTAAAAGCACATTGATTATTTTTAATTATGTTAAATTTGTTTGTGAATTTCATTATTCGCTTATGCATTAACTTTTCAAATATCTTAGACATTATAGGTATAAGTGTTATTGGTCTATAGTTTGTGATATTTTTTTTGTCACCCTTTTTATGAAATGGTTTAATTATAGACACTTTGAGTACATCTGGGAAAATACCTTCTTCAAACGACAGATTTATTAAATATACGAGAATCGGAGCCAATTCAGTCTTACATTTTTTAATTATGTTAGTGGTAATTTCGTCATAACCCACTGCATTAGTATTATTTAATGATGAGATAGTGTTATGTACTTCTTCTATATTAACTGGCTCAAGAAAAATGCTATGAGATGTAATCGAAGTACATGTATTATTATACTTGTTACTGCTCACTTCAATCGCATTTATGAAATAATTACTAAATTCTGATGCAATATCATTGGGATCGGTTATTGTATACTCATTAATATTTAATTGTTTAATGAAGTGGTTCTCCAAATTGCAATTATTCTTTCTTTTATTAATTAAATTCCAAGTTGCTTTACATTTATTCTTAGATTTATTTATATAGTCATCATTACTAATTTTTTGTGATAAGTTGAGACACTTTTTTAGTAGCTTCGAGTATTTGGAGTACTTACTTTTATTAAGAGGGTTGTTGTTTTTGTAGAAATTTAATCGTAATTTCCGCTTGGTTACACAACTTTTTCTAAGACCAACCGTTATCCAAATTGGTTTAACGTGTTGGTTAGTGATTTTTATTTTTATTTTTGGAAAACACAATTTATACAGAAGCTGGAACCATTCATGAAAGCATTCAAATGCCTCGTTTAATCGACGTTTTTTGGTAACGTCCGAAAATGACAGACTACACAGATAATCTCGAAATTTCTTAATGTTCTCATTAGAATAATCTCTTTTAAACATATACAATTTTTTTACAAGAGTTATTTTTTTCTTAATTGGTATAACAAGTAATTGTGCCGTATCATGATCTGATAATGCTAAGTGCAGCAATTTTCCTGTGGCTTTTCTTACATTACTTATCATGAGGTCGAGACATGAGTTTAACCTTGTAGCATCATTTATATGCGATATCAATTTATAGTTCTCAAGCATATCACTAAAGTACTTTGTTACACGATTTTTGGTACATAGATTTATGTTGAGATCGCCAGAAATTATTATATTGTGCTTGGGATATTTTTTAAAAACTTTATGGAGTAATAGTTCAAATGTATCGAGGAAGATATCAATGTACTTTTTTTTTTTAAGGATGACCTGTATATACAGATAATTATAAACTTCATTTCAGGTATTAATATAGAACAACACTCAAAAT